GAAAAAAAAAAAAAAAAAAAAAAAAAAAAAGAAAAGTGTATCTTGATTCAGCACAATTATCTTACAGGTTTTTTGTGTCCTTTGACCATTAGTCTGATTTTCATTCTGTGTACATGATTATTTACTTTATAAGGTTTTATAAGGTAAATAAATGAATCTGACCCTGGAAAAATAAGGGTGTAGAGGGAAGATGAAAAAGAAATAAAATGTGTTATATACATGTACCAATTACCTAAAATGAATGTAATCATTGTATATTGCAAACAAGTACTACTAAAAGTGTGTGTTGTGTGTGTGTGTGTGTTTTAATAAAGAAGGATTCTGCCTATGCCATCTGCCAGTTTTCATTTCTTTCTGAATCATCCCATCTCACCACATCTCCCAGTCCCACAGCTCTAAAGATTGGCTGCTGATGTTCAGCTGTCCTTGAGTCTCCAGCTCGGGCTTCTCCCCTGAATTCCACATGAGCAAATCCAACTGCCTCTCTACATCTTCTTGGACTGCTTTACTTTGATATGAGCCAGCTACTGCTTTATTCACATTTTTTAATCTTAATCTTGCCAGTATTATCACCATTTGATAGATGAGGAAATTATTGCTTCAGAAAGTTTACAGAAACACAGTTTGTATGTCGTGGAGTTGGGAATTTGAATCCAAGATACTTAACCTTAGGATTTGTATTTCAAAAACACCATCTTCATCATACAGACACTTCTTTTTTGTATTTTGTCTGTTTTGAAAGTTTCTATTCAGATCTATTAATATGTTTTGCAACTCTCATGTAAGAACAATCCATATTTAAATGCAGTAAAATTTAATATTGAATAGTCTCCTTATTGTTGTTTTAAAATTTTTTGTTTTGTCAGAAAATTTTGGAAATTATTAGGCTCATCAGAAAAACTGGGCTTCTGATAGGAATTGTATTAAATGATGATAAGTTTGAGATGAATTTTATTGTTACTATTGGACCATAATGTAGTTGCTTCTTTTTGATTCTTCAGGAACATTTTGTATACATAAATTGCTTATTCAAATATATTTTTAATTAACCTTGAGAGTGGTTCCCCCAAATTTTGAATTGGTTGTTATTTATATTTTTAAAAACAAATTACTTTGGTTATATTTATCTACTTGTCACTTTATTATCTTAAAAATGTATCCTTTTAGTTTTAAGACATCTTAATTTTGTCTTCAGGGTTTCATATACAGTTATTACTTTTCTTATTATGTTCTCCAATTGTTATTTATTTCCTTGTGCAAATAACTTTTTTGTTCTGCAAATTTCTATTTTCCTCCGATTTTTCCTTGCTTTATTGCATTGGTTAAACTCTCTGAGTGATAAAATATAATAATAGTGAAAGAGCCAATCTTTTTTTCTACTTTTGATAGGCAATCTTGTTTTTCATAATTATGTATGATATTGTACCCTTCTTGAGATTAATACAACAACTTCTATTTATGTGATGTGATTATCACTGTCCACTAAGGCAAGGGTGTATTGAAGTCTCTTACTAGGTTCCTTAATTGGCTGAATATTGTGCTGCAGACATAGGCTATTTATAAACAGCCTCACAAAGAACTATTCTTCTTGTGCATAGAGTTCTACAAAGCTTGTTTAACCTAGAAGAAGTACATTAGATGTTGGGGAAACGACTTGCTGAAAGTGAGGACACTGGTATCAGTGGGTGTGAGATGATAGAAGAATAAAGTGAGGATGAAATTACCTAGACAGAAGGGTAAGCAAGCCCAGGGATAAGTGGTTTCTTGACGGTGGTCCACGTAGACCGACATACCTTTTTTAGCTTCCGTAGTCCTTGAGAATGTCATTCTCTTATAATACAGTAAGAAAATCATATTTGGTCATTTGCCATGTAAACTTGTACTTTATTTTTAGGGCACAGCACTGTGGCCTATGGTGGACATATTTCAATGCAAACATTTTAAGAAAAGAGTGTTTGAAGTTGTTTACTCAGACAATTTCCTTATTTGAATTATCTAATCCCCTCCTGACTCCAATAAATAAAGATATTACCTTACTTTTGGCTGTGAAAGGCACATAGGTTTCTCTTTTGATAGCAGTGACTCCTGAGTGCAGGACGGTGCTACTTTTAAATATTTATTCCAGTCATTTTATTTACCTAAGTAGGAAGCAGTAACTGGTACTCAAATGTTCTTAAATTTCAACCCCAGTTTTGCCTCTTACTAAGTAATGTGGGCAGCTTCAGTATTCTCTGAGCTTCACTTTTCCAAGTTTTACAAAAAGACCCAATACCCCTCGGAGGACTGTGATGAGGATGAAATGAAGAGGAATTTAAGAGGAGCTTGGCGTGCCTTAGACACCCAGGGAATTTCAGAATACTGAAGCTGCCTTACAAACTCCACAGCCACTTCATGGCACGAACACATCGTAAACCCCAGTTCCATGGCGTGCCCTTGTTTGAGTCAGAAATTTTCAATTTCTTATCCGAATAAACTGTAACACTGCAGCGCTCTTTTCTGCTCGGCTTCTTCTTGCAGATTGACTGACTGATCTGAGTTCTGCTGCGGAACACAAATGTGGCGCACTCCTAATTAGAGTTTATTTAACACAGGGGACCAAGTGCTGCTCATGAATATTGATTCCCACTAGCAGCACTGACAAGCACATTATTATGCACCTTACATGGAACTCACTGTGTGCTTTACTTTTGACCTACAAATCTGCGATTTCTGAGAAAGTCAACGTGTGACAGCAATTTGGGGTCACGTGGGGTATGCTGCAGTAAAACTCAGAGGAAGCCTGAGGAAGTTGAAAGTTATACTTTGGGCGGTCACTACAGATATAATTAATGGCTGTAAGGCAGAACACAGATAAATAGAGAACACAGCTTTTGCCTCAGCTGCATTAATAGAAAGTAGAGGAATCAGGCAAAAGAGAAATTTTGTGATCCCAGAGACTGATTCATGATGTATGGCAACATTAAGTAGTCATAGGAAGCTTGTATCTAAGAATAGTTTTAGACTTACACACATCGATTTAGGTCTTGTGAAAGCAGTAGCAGAAAGAAAATCATGTGAGCTAAAATACAAGCTTTTCCACAAATGCAGCTACAGAGGACATCAGAAGGATGCCAGATTGTTGCCGATAGGGAATAGGAATTAAGCCTAAGGCGGGAAATTAAGGACTAGGGCCAGATGTTATCTTCATGAGCCCTTTTACTAACCAGCAGCTAGGTTCAAGCAGACGAAACCAAATTACTTTCTCCGAAATATCATTTTAGTGTTCCAAGATTTGCTTACTTTGTGAAAAACTTCCCTAAATGTGGATGAAGAGATAATTATCACAGGGGACTTAATAATACAAATGGCTGATGTTAAATGAGACTTTCTTTTGTACGAGGCATTCTGCTAAGCTCTGTATCTACGTTTTATCATGTCACTACTATCCTGTCAACAGTGGTAATAGAGAACCATCAACACCCCCATTTTCATGAAGGTTAAGCATGTTCTCTAAATTGTCTCAATTGTTAAAATACAGGAGTTGGGATTTTGAGCCTCATAGTGTCTGACTCCAGTACCCTAGCTGGAACCGTTAGACAAGAATGTCTTCACTACAAGGATGGAATCCCTAGGAACTGCTCTGGGATCTGTGCTCCCCCAGTCTTCAGAGGCTTAAGCAAGATTTACCTAATTTTCTAGCCCCCCCTGAAAGCTTGTCATCAAAAGTAGGCGGCAGGTAAGAGGTTCAGGGAAGAAGCAAGACGAATCCGATTGCAACAGTTGCAAGGGTATTTTTAGAGAGCAAAGGCCTGGAGAACAGTGCCATGGGCTGTAGTGTGAGTGTGTGTGTGTGTGTGTGTGTGTGTGAGCGTGTGTGTGCGTGTGTGTGCATGTGTGTGTGTGTGTATGCAGTGAGGAAGGGTGTTTTCAGAGAGGCAGAGTCATTGTTAGGGTGCCTTTTACTGGATTGGACTTTATTTGTACCTACATTATACCCGGAGCCGTTTATAAAGTGGGGTTTTAGGTTTCCACAAAATTCAACTTGGTAATTCTCTATTTGGGTTACTGTGCATCAAATTGCATTTATACAGTTTCCGAACTGTATGTTACCATGTGTTAAATAATAAAGTTTAAGGCACTAATTCATTCATTATGAAGGGAAAGGAGCATCTGGTGTGAGCCGACAGTTATTCTGTTACACTGTTTATGTGTGTGTGTGTTTGTATATGTGTGCACTCAGATAAGCATGTGTCTAAGTGGCATTTCCTCTACCCGAATTAATAGGTCAATGAACCAGTCACTGAGGAATTTGATGGTCCCAGTCTCCACGAAGTCCTCCCATGGAGTCACCATTATTATCACCATTTTACAGATGAGGTAAATGAGGTAGTGAGAAATTAAATAAATTTTCAGTGTGAAATACCTATGGTTTTAATGGTATTAGGCATAGACAGCCTTGCTTCAGAATCCATTTCCTTACCTACCATACTCCTGTTTCCCACTATGACCAATGCTCTTTAACACTTGCAGCAAGGCTCATATACGTGTTATACTTTTGGGTAAATAATATGTAGAAATGTGGAGGAGAAGGGAAAAATGAATGGATGAAACATTAGATCAGTCATTAGAATGATTATTTGATTGAGACACTTATTTGATAAGACTGTGTATGTACTTGGAATATGAATTTGTGTTTGGCTGAACATTACTAGGTAATCAGACATTGATCTGAGTGTTGATTATCACTGTGGAAGACTGGTACGTATCTATTTCGTATTCCCCGCTATAATCTTACATAAATCTTAACAAGATTTTACCTAATTATACCATTTGAGTTTTATTATTATATTAATATTTGTTTTTTGAGTTACCTTTCACTAGTAACCATTTTCTAATTTTAATTTTTGACCAAATAAAAGGCCATATTAAGGACTATCTAAAGGTAGCAATATTTAGTAAAAATCACTAGGGGTTTAAACTGCTAACTCAAAATATGGTATCTGCCCCCAAGGCTTAGTCCAATGGTGTGGTTTCCTTTCAATATTTGTTCACCAGTCTGTGTGTATTATTTGTTTCTTGGACTTGGCTTTTTGTGTTTTTGTAAAAGTGTAAGTAAGAAGGAAGAAGGGATATGCTACTTTGAAATCAAATATGGCTTAGCAATTTAATTTTCTGAAAATTAAAAAAGAATCACACACAGATGCTTTAAACTAAACAGTGGTTTATATGCATTGTCTAATGAAGGGTGTCTAAGTAAATCATTGTGTCAAACCAGCATCTTAATATGGTTTTATTCAGCCCGGTGCTTGGTCTCAACCAGATGTTTCTGTTCTTAGAACCCTCTTCTGTTACTGACTGACACCAAGTAACACATATAATTAATATGCAAATAAAATTATCTATATAATTAGTGCTTGGAGACAAGATTTTTAAATAGTTCTTGTCTGCACAGATCACTTCACATATTTATATTTTTGAGGACGGTAACTAATTATGTGGCTTTCCCACAACTGTGGCTAATTTGGGACAATTTCTAGAAATCATGTCTTAATTAGATAAAACTAATTTTTAGAGGTAGTTTGACACTTTGCTTCTTGATGTAGCTAGCAAGAAGATATCTTGGCCCAAGATAAAGTGAAAATACGTGAGGATCTAGTTAAACCTCTAGTTGGTTTAGAAACATTTCAGGCCATCGGGGCTTAGAGGAATGAAAAGGAAAAGGGGTACATTTGAGCCATTTGATAAAATGGATAATGCCTGGCACCAGGTGCCTATGGATCTTGCAGTAACTCCTTCACTACCCACTGTCATGCCAAGCAACTGGTCTTTTGTCCACATTACAAAGATGAAAGGAGAACACAATACCTAATTTTTTATGCTGCCGTTCAAACTAAACTGTATGGGTGGAAGGAAGGGCGATCTCTTTCACATGAAAGAATCAAGATGGTGTCCGAATTATTGTAAACATATTCTAGAATCACTGTAAGTTTCTGTGATCTTGGAGGCATATTTATGAAATGTGTAGTTCTAATTTTAGTGGTGCACATTGCAAAAACATAGAGGTCGATAATATTAAAGGAAAATGGTTTATGCTGGTATAGATTAATTTTGAGTTACGTTTACTCAATCTGTTAATGTCTACATTTGTATCACAGCCCCTTTAAAATATCAAAAACTAAGACAGTGATCAATAATTGTCACAAATACCAGTCTGCTACATTTTAAAAGATTAACCAAATGCTTTGTTTACTTGTCTTATGTATGTCTTTTCTTAATTTCATAGCCTTTATATTTATTTGTGGTATTGCATATCATAAATACAATGAAGTCAGGAGTAGCAGTCACTCCTACTCTGTAATATGATTACAGACATCAATGGAATGCTTTCTTGGCTAGAAGAAGGACTTCTTCTCCTTCTTTTTTTTTGGTACAGGGGATCGAACTCAGGTCCTTGTACTTGTGAGGCAGGCAGCAGAACCACTGAGCTAAACCCCCCCGCCCAAAGAACTTTTGCATGAACACTTCAATGCTTGGAAATCCATGAAATGTACACTCTTCACATTCTTCTTCCTTGAATTTTTTCTAGCTCATATATATGAATTTCATTCAAAAATTGAAAAATTTCACTCTTTGGCCTAAATGGATTAAAGCACTGAGTTAGGTGAAGAAGGCATGCAATAGTGAATTAAAAAAGGAAAGATCTAGTGCTTAGCTTTGTTTTGACAGTAAAAGCCTCAATAAAGGGAAACCTTGGTATGAGAAGGCCCAGGGAAGCTACAACTGGGCCTTTCAGTAGATCAAACTGCTGAATGCTTGACACTATAAAGACACGTCCTATTTTCTAAACTTTGCATTTATTTTTGATATTCACTGCTATGTTCTGTTTTCATTCACGGTTGCAAGGACCAGACTATATATGGCCCATGGTTGGTGTTCAATAAACTCTAGTTTTCTCTTATTTCTTTGTAGGGCCAAAATGATTCCTTTCTACACCCTTGTCTCTTTGAGATTTTTCTCTTTTTTGATTTAAGCCTTGTTCTACTGCTTTGCTTTTGTTTTCTCTGAGGAAAAATTTCCCTCATGAAGACCGATTTATTTATTGTATATTTTTACATCATAGTATCTCTGAATCATACAGGAGAACTATTTTTTTGCTTTCCTTTTAGATGTCAGGAGAATTTAAATACAAGAACATGCTCACCACCCTTAGCTCATCAGCTCCGAGGTGATCACTTATCAGTGCTGAAACAGTGTGGCTAATCTGTCTGTGTCTACTCATGTGGGATCTGCGCTCATGAGGGGCTGCTTCTGGAGATAGCAGATGCAGATAACTGTCATTCTTGCAGATCAAACAAATGTAAGATAGCACATGAGCTGCCTGTGATCTTATCACCTCTACAAACTTGCTTCACTAGACTGTTTGGAAGTTAAGTATGAACTTTATCTTACAGATAGAGATTTAATTTTAGCGGGGCCCAACTTAAAAGCACTGCTACAATAGTACCTCAAATTTTCAAGGCTCTTTAAAGTTTGAGTATCCGAATATTCCAAATATTGAACATCTGAATTTTCAAAAAGGACTTACTTGTAGTGCATTTTATTTTCATCCAAGGCAGACTGGACAGATTGGTATTCCTTCTCACTAACTCGGAAATCCACTGTCATGTTAGCAGCTACATGGTGTGTGGCATCTGGATACCAGAAGTCAAGCTGCAGAGATGAGTTCACTGTTAGCCATGGTTGTTTGTGTGATCACCAGTACATATATACTAAGACCTGACCGTGTGCTCTACAGCGCAGTAGGAATTTGGGGTTCAGTGTAACTAAGTCTTTCACTCCTCTTTTAAGGAAATAATGAGACTTTTCTTTTTCTTTTTCTTTTTTTGGACATGCATTTAAGAACTATTGAATATTAAGGAGTGAGAAGAGAACATTTGTACTGATTACTATTTCAAGACATTGTATCTATCAAGGTAGAAAGGACGGCTGGCTCTTTTGGTTAATCTCGTTGCTTTTCCTGTTTTGGAGTTTAATAGGATTATTCCATAATTGATTTAGCCATAGTACTGGTTCCCCTGGGCATTTATATAGAATATCTGCTCCCTCCCCATTCAGCTTCAAAACCAGATGTCCCTGTAAATTCTGGAATTCCTGGAGGGTTTGTATACAGTGAGAAGACAGTCTCCCAGCCCTGCCACTTTCTAAAGCAATCTATCTCTGGACAAGTTACTAAAACTCTGAGCTTCAGTCCTCTCCCCTAAAAAAGTCGGGCTGATAGGACTCCCTGGAGAGTGTAGTGGAGATTGCAAAATGAGTACAAGGTCTGGGGCTTGCAGGGATTTAGTAAGTGCTGATTCCTATTCTCTATGTTCCCCTAGCTGAGACTGTCAGAAATTTGGTGAATGGGTCTAAAAGGATAACATTCAGGTTAAAATAGCTTTGAAAAGATTCCAATTCTTGTGGCTGTGAAAAATCCTACTCAACTGTGAAACCAAATGAAGTGAAAGTTTTATTGAACACCAGACACAGACTTGGATATCAGAATTGAGGAAACTAATAAGGGAACTTATGAAAAGAAGAAGAAGTTTTGTGTGGGACATGAAGCTCTAGATACGTATTTCCAACATGTTAACCAACACCAGAGGAAGGAACAGAGCGTCCCAGAAAATCAAGGAACAAGCCAACTTGTGTCATGAGAGTCAATGGACAAAGAAATCCTCCTGCAGAAGAAGTTGGCAGAGTTTCAGCTTGAAAAGTAAGACTTAGCCAAGTGAGAAGAGAACCACATTCTTTTTGAGAAAAAGGATGTAAGATGGGTGATGTTCAGATGTCCATGGAGCTTAAAGAGAGAGTATAGGAGCCAGAGAATAAAGAGGACTACGGTTTGACAGATCACAAAGAACTTTGAATACTATATCAACAGCCATAGAAGATACAGAAAATGCTACCTACCACAGTGATTATCATGGCCAGGCAGCTTTGGAGAACTTTTCAAAGCCTACTTAGTCTATACAAGAACCTCACAGAATAGGTGTGATAACGCTACTTTTTACAGAAGAAGAAATCGAGATCTTGTGAGGTTCAGTAATTTGCCTAAGGTCACAGAGTCAGTATAGAGCTGGGAGTTGAACCTCAGAAGTTGGCTCTGAAAAACATGCTTTTTCCATATGAGGCTGCAATTCAATAAAGAGCTTGAAATGGAAAAATGCAGTTGTCAAGATTTAGAGAAAGCAATCAGATTGCAATGCAGACAAGACTAGAACCCCGGATGCTAATTAAGGCATTATTGAAATTATCCTAGCATTAGGCAGGCAGAACAGTGGCAGTGGAACGGAGAGGCAGATATGGGAAATATTTGGGAATTAGAATAAGTAGAAATTTTAATTGTTTTGCTGTAGTGATAATAGGGTAAGACTAGAATTACTACCAGATTTGTTTGGGTGTTTAAATCTGACACATAATCTTGGTCTTCTAACTTACATCTTTGAACTTCAGTTTCTCTGTCTTAAATGGGTTAAATTATGACTGCAAATCTATTGGAAAATCTGAAATAAAGTAAGGAAGGTGGCTGGCACAATGAGCTTTGTGTACAGAAGCAGCTGCATAAATGATAGCGTGGTTATTTTGAACTGTTGGATTTTATTTATTTACTTACTTATTTTTTTGGTACCGGGGATTGAACTCGGGTCCTTGCGCTTGCAAGGCAGGCCACTGAACTGCTGAGCTAAATCCCCGGCCCAATCTGTTGGATTTTAAAGGATTGATCTAACTTCAAAAATCTTTTCAAGTATAGCTGTTCCTGGAGAGGGCCACACCTTGATATCAGCCAGGACTGTGACATTATCAGTCTGTACTGTAACAGAAAGTGTGTCACCAAAGGAGATCGGAGCAGGAGTGGGGAGAGTTGCCAGCAATGGGTGAGGAGGGAAAAGAGAACCTGGTAAAGATACGAAGAACATCCCATCATTTTAGTTTTACTTAGAAAAAGCTGTTTCTTGCATAGATTTGTGGAGGAAAAACAAATAGTATCCTATGAAAACAAAACCAAAACCAAATGAGGTATTGGCCCCTGACTGAATTATCCAAGTAGCTCTGGCCTTTTCCCTTTATGTTTGATAGTCTTTGGTTGCCCCGTGGGTGTTAAAATAAAATAAAAAAGAAGCAGCTTTTAGAGAACAGAAAGAACAGATGAAATATTCCCAAACGCTTTACCTCATTGGTTTTGGCCAAGTCCTTTATGATGCTTGCTTGTTTTTCATCCTGGGGCTTCACACGGAACACCTTGTCCCTTCAAGAAGCAAATGACAAAAATGTGAGCTGTAAAGAAATATTCCTTCATTCCCTTCCAACCCAGAGACTGGCACAGAGGGTACTGAGATTTACCTGTCAAAGCGGACAGGATCAATTCCAAGGGCCACAGTGATCAAACTCAAGGTCAGGATGAACTTCATGATTCTTCTTTGCTTGAAGTGAGACCCTCTGCCAATTTTATGTCTCAACCTTTATCTGGAGGAGCAGCTGATTTCCTCTTGGGGTTTCATAGCATGAACTGCCCCCTCCGTTCCACCCCCCCGTGCTTTCTCATTTAGGGAGAGAAGGGAGACTACTAACACCAAATGGCCATGCCACTCTAACTTTTATTCTAGAGAATGCCCATTTTATAGAAAAAGGACAGAGGCAAATTACTTTACCACAAACACTGCCAAAGTAATGCAGCCTATATGTTCACAAAGCTGGGACCTAGTTCTGCTTGTTCAAAAATAAAGGGTCACCACACTTTTGTTGAATGAAGGAAGATACTGGTTTTAAATTTGTACTTGCAACTTGAGAAGAATCTGAGTACTGGTTACAGAAGCTTCGTGGGTGGTCCTCCACAACATAAAATGTGTTTGAAGCTTGACTGTAATTTGTTAAATTAAAAGCATTGAAATTTCAAGACATTTAGAATATCTTAAAAATGTAGATACTATAGAAAATGTTGATGTATTCATGATCTAGATTTTAAGATAGATTTGCTCTCATTTTATTTTTTATTGGTACACTTTTATGATACACAGTAAATATATTCATTGTGGGGAATTGGTACATATACATGTTGTAATTTAATCCTTTTTACTTATCTCTCTCCTCATCTTCCTCCATGTTCCCTCATCCCCAGATCCCCTTCCCGTCTCCGCAAAGAGAGCTTTCTGTTATCTGTTGTCTCTTATTTTGCTCTATGTCTCAACTCTTCTTGTCTTCTTCCTATGGCCAGAGACAACCCGTATTTCTAAAACAGGTTGAGGACTACTTGAGGAAAAGAAAATACTGGACATTGTCTTTAGGATCTGGATGCTGTGGGCGCCAAAAAATTGTCTTTGAAAATTGAATTAATGATAGACATTGGTTTACCAAGTAAAAAGTATGTGGAGACATCTTTAGTTTTGAATACAATTCAGTTAATTATGGGTTGTTTGGGAGAATAATACCGTTGCCCAGAATCATAGATAAATTAATAGAGTGAAGTGAATTTTTAAAATCAGATGGCTTGAAATTTCTTTTTAAAAACTATTTCCTCACTTTGGCAAATGTATTGATGGTCATATATGAAGCTTCTTGGAGTTATCTTTATACTTTTAATGATCAACTAATATTGCTGGGCAGATATCCCTGCTGCATGTATAACAACAAAATCTTCATTCCTCTTTATTCGAAGGGTGTGTTACACAATCCCCCAAAAGTATCTGTTTGCCTCAGTCCTGAAGATAAGGAAGAGGAGAGATTCACAAACACCTTCACGTTTTGGACTTTGCTTCACAGCAGTAGAACCCCTCATACTTACTCCATCATTTTCGATTAAAGGTGCTTTAATCAGGGCACAATGAAAAAGAATGAGCTTGAAAAATAAGGATTTAGGCAGATATCACCTGAGTGGCTCCCAGAGTGCCGACATCATTTTGAGCATTTTGTCATTCTGGGCCTTGGACGTCTTATCTATAAAATGGGAATGCTAACGTGACTCTAATAGGTGACTTTGAGGGCTGACGAGGATAACATGCACAGGGGTACGGTGGGGGCTGGAAACACGAGTCTGCCCTCCCGAGAGTTCTCAGGTTATGTAAGCAGAGGCACAGAGCCGGGCACTCCCAGGCTGTAGGACTGAGGAGAATCAGCATATACGACAGGGTAGATTAGAGCAGTGTCTGTGACCGGGAAGGAAGAAGCCGCTCGGTTCGGTTTAATGAAGACGAGCAATAAAGTTTTGTGCTGTTTTTGAGGTCTGTTTTCAGATTCAAAAATTAAAAATTCCACTGAATGTAATTTTGCAACATAAGGGATGTTAGAAGAATAAAAATTGAAATCTCCTTTAGTCTTTTTAAATTTTCATTGAATTTATTGGTCCATTTTAGGTATACAGTACAGTTACATTCATCATTGGGATCTTGTACCTCTACATGACAGATCTTAGTTCTCATTTTTCCCCTTACCCTGCCCTCCCTTCACCCCTCCTCCCTTCCCTATTTACGAAGACTTTGTTTCCATTTTTTCCTTTTCTCCTATTTTTTTCTTTTCCCTTCTTTCTCCTACCTTTCCTACTCCTTTCATCTTAACATTGTAATCTCTGGAATCATTTCTTGTGTGACTGGTTTTTAAAGTTGTACAGAGAAGACTTCAGTGTCTGATGTTTTAAAAGTCAAATAAGAAAGGCACCTCTGTTTTATTTAGGTATATAAATGGGTGTTTTGAGGATTCTGATATCCTTTTGGATGAGATTCTGATGACAGTGAATGCACACCTTTAGATTAATAGCATCTGCTGCATGTTGATGGTTCTGTTTTTGAATGGCATACAGACACGTGACACGTTCCTCCAATTCATTCAGCCTCTAAGGAAAAGTATAGTAGATTTCAAGAGTGTTACTGAAAGTGTAAATTGAGGGTCAAAATGTCTAATAGATAATGTGAAACAGGAAGAAAAGGCCCAGGGGCTGAGGATTTAGCTCAGTGTGTCCACGACCTGCCTTGCAAGTGCAGAGTCCAGAGTTCAACACATGGTTCCCAAACAAGAAAAGGCCAAAGGGGAAGAGGGGAAGAGGAAGTGGGAAGCATAGGGGTAAGGAAAGAGAAAGGAAAGATATGAGAAAAGGAAAAAATGCAAACAAAGTTTTTGTAAATAGAGAGGGGTGGCGGGGTTGAAGGGAGGGCAGGGGAATGGGGGAAAAAAAAACTAAGATAGATTATGTAAAGGTACAAATTTCCAATAGTGAATGCCAGCATACTGTATACCCAAAATGTACCAATAAAATTAATAATAATAAGAAAGAGTGTTCTGGAGCACTTTCCCAGAATGTATGCTATTTCTTGGCAGGCTATTTCTTGCCTTTTATTATTGCATCACGATTTATAGAAGGTCTTGGCATAAGTGAGGAGCAGGATGAATAGTTTTTACCATATTATTTTAGGATGGGCTATGTAAGACTGTGATTTTTCATAGGCTAGACTAATCTCTTTAAAAAACAATTTAAAGTTGACTGCTTCACATGGCAATAATTTTCCATCTTTCTGGAGCTTTTCCCTCCTGGAATTTTTGTAGTAATGGTTACTTATATTTCTGTATATTTTCCAACATAGAGAAATGGCCTAGAAAACGGAAGTGAAACATTTTCTTATAACCTAACAGGACCTTTCACACAGTTGTCCATCTTCAAATCTAACCCAATAAATTGCTGGAATACCTCTAGATAACGCTCATCACAGGTTTGTCGAAAGAAAAATTCATTGCTTTTAGTTGCAGAGGTTGGATTCTTAACACAGAAACAGAACTATCCTGTAAACGTTACTGAGAAATTTGTCTTCATTAGCTGTAGCAAAGGCGGAATTTCCGGAACAATGTGTGAATATGTGATTCAGGCCACGTAGAAGGGAAGTGACTACCTACTATGATGACACGACTAAGGGGCTTGTCACAACGCCATTTGGCCTTTCTATTAACTTGTTATCTTCTTACGGCTCTTTCTTTCTTATAGAAATGCGTATTTGACGGATTCAGATAAGTCAGCTTGCAAAAAAGCAGCTAAGCATATGAACTTCATTTCTAGTGCACAGGAATTTCATAAATGAAACTGGGAAATCCCTCTTGCTGTTTTGTAGATTCAAGTGGACACTTCTGTGCTGGCTACCTGGTTACACACTGCTCCTCAGGAGAGAGGTGAAGGAAGGCCTCAGAGGCTGTCCTGGGCTCTCACAGTGGGATCAGGCAGCGGAGAAAGAAGACGCACTCACAGCTTGTGTGGACGTTCAGCACTCTCCGATCAGTAAGGCAGGAGAGCACCAGACTCTTTTGTTGGGAAGGAAGGACTAAGGCAAACTTCTTCTCTTTCTTTTTCTCTTTATGAAGCTTGAACATGAGGAACTTCTAGCCAGCTATCTGCCATTAACCTTTGGTAAGGAGGAGTTACAGGGGAAAAATACCTCAGGTACAGGAAATCTCTGCTACGTGGGATTCTAAATAAGAACACTTATGTATACTACTTTTCTATTCTTTAGTCTTCTCCTTAAAATATCTTAGTAATTTTAGCTAATCCCATAATATTGTCCTAATTTCTATGTTTAAGCACACAATTTAGGTCTGTGGAGGCTTCATTATGGTTTATCTACATGATTTCCATATTTTGGAAATGGATGCTTTTAACCACAGCATCCCTTAGTTAGGGGTTCATGTTACCAGCAGATGCAGAAGGGAATATCCAGTAGAGCAGGAATAAAATTATACGCTTTCAGCAAGATAACTACTCAGGTAACTGTGGGTCAGTTACAATTCCTAAGATAAATATAACTGGATATAACTGAAATACAAGAAGAGAAAGATAATTTGGCTAAATTGTACCATTTTATTATTCTCAATACTGCTAAAAATTTGTGAAAAAAGTTTTTGTACTTAAAAATCTCTACTTAAATGACATATTACTGAATTATTTGAAGGTGACTGACAAATACTAGCAGCCGCACTGCTACCATCTAGTGGACAATTAACACAATTAATCATTCTTTGGCTTGATAGCTTCCAAACTCGATAGGTCACAGTTATGACTATTTTAGCATATTATGTTCGATATGGAACCCTATTTTCCTTGAATGCACACAGGAAATAATGTATTAAATGTTTGTTTTCTGATTTTAAGGAAATGCCTCCACATTTTAAACTATATATATATTGTGTTATAAAAATTAAACTTGGCATAATCCTTTTGGAAAATGTGAAGTCATGAGGGATATATGGGTCACGGGGCGATGTTTTTCCTTTTTTACTGGTGCAACTGGTCCAGCCCAGGTGCTTGGCTGTCTCGTCTCACTTCAATCTGTTTTCCATGCCTTTGTATGTAAAAAAAAAAGACTTTGGGGACCATTTACATCTTGACATCTTCATGGCTTTTCATTGTTCTTAGACTGACCACTGTACCAAGCCCTGAACAGAACCTCTACGCTCTGCCTGATATGGTTCCCACCGTCCTCCCCAGGCCCACCCAGACCTCTCCTCCCTCAACTCTCCGAGTGCTACCCTCGATTGCTTATGAAGGGTCACAGGCCCAGAAAGTCTCTCACTTTGTCCAGAGAAAGCCTCCCTCCCACATCAAGTAGACTTTGTACTTCCTTTGCGTGCAGTCCATCCAATATTTACTTGTTCCATGTAAATTATGTAACATTATTAAATTATTAGCTAAATATTTGGTTGACATCTGTCTTTTCTAATGGTCTGTGCACCCAATAAGGGTGGAAGTGTTATCTTTATTTTTCATTGTTCTGTTTTTCAATTGCTTAGCAAAATTCTTGGCATATAATAGATAGCGCATTATCTAACAAGAGCTGAGAGCAAAGCAAAAACAAGATGGAATCTTCTCGTCGACACCAGGGTTTTCTATACTGCATTTCCCTTTATGTTTCTTCTTACTCACGAGTCTCCCATTACAACCCGTACACCTGGCAGGTGTTGGTCAAGCCCCCAAGAATTTCATTCCTTCGTGACTGACCACATCATCATCTGTGTACCTCTTGTGCGCTCATTTGGTCACATTTCTTTCCACAATGTAGACACCCTGTCATGGTCTGCAATTATAATGATTCACTTTTATTAAGCTTAATTTTAAAAGATCCAAGTTTATATAGAAGCTAGGAAAAACTAAGAAAGACTAGGGAAGACTAGGGAATGAAAAACCTCCAACCAAAGAAAAACCAGGATTCAAGAGAGACAGGCAACGACGAGCGAGCACTCTGAAAGAGGCTCTCGGCGTTATCGACTAGTACAGATGTCCCAGGATGTAGCTGGCAATGTGTTTGACTGCGAGTAGGGTCTCCTCACAAGTTGCACGGATTTGGGATTCAGGAAGCAGAAAGCCATATTTGCCTGTATCCCGGAGTTCGAAGGTGAAGGAATATTTGATTCCTTGGTCATAAGCCCAGTCGTCAGAGCCCCCAGCAGCAAGATCTGAAATGAACAAGTAGCAGGAGAGAAAAATAAACTTTTAAATCTAGGTAGGAGGTAAAAAAAATTGTCACCTCTCTTTGATTACAAACATTTCACTGTGCAAAATCTGAGTATGCCAACTTTCTAGACGCTTGATTGATTGTACATTTACAATTTGGAGACTGTTTTTAAAATTTAGTCCAGTCTTACCTCGAGATTTACCTGATGGGATTGTTATGTTTAATACCCTAGAAATAATGTAATCTGCAATATAAAATTTTCAATATGCTTATATACTATGGTAAATTAAGCTATATATGTAGTCTGTAATATATATCAAAGGAGCATACCAAAGAACATACTATGTAGCTTAATTTCCCATAGAATGAACACACACTGAAAATTTCGATATGAATGTGTATCTCCTCTCAGGAAAGAAAGGAAAACTGCGTGATGACTGCGTGATGAGAGGACAGGACTCCAAACCCTGCTGGAAGTGTGAGGAGTCTGAATAATGAAATTGAAGCAATTTGAGGGAAGAGCTGGGGCTTCCTTCTTTTTTATCTTCAGTATGGAACACAGGACCTGGCGAAAAGCCAACATTCATTTAGTAGTATCAATTCATTTGGTAGGAATTATGCTATCACGAACACATAATGTATGTACTCATTCACTATGCATCTATTTATCTATTTATTCACCCTACAATGGTACAGCCCCCACTAAACTGCAGGCCATGTGTTCAGCTCTCTCCTTTAAAGGGTTGTACTATGATGGAAAAAGAACACCTAATTGAGTTAGGCCGAATAAGCATAAAGTTCGCAATATATAAATAAGTGAGTTATTTCCGCTGGAAACTGTTTAAGAAGAAAATATACCACCTCTAATCGAGAGCAGCTTTGAAAAAAGGAGAAGACAGAAAAGTATTTGATAGAAAGCTAAGAAAAACCCAACAACTCAGGGTAAGAGCCTCCCAAATGCACTGAAGACCTCTTGGTGACAGGACTGGGCCATTTTTCTCGTGTGTATTTCTATTCCTTTCAGACCTCAGGGAAAAATGAATCATTTGAAGAGCAAGGAAAATAGAAATTGAAAAAGGGATCTGTGGAATGTGCCTCTGCAGAGAAATCCAGACTGTGCAGCATTCATGGCCCTGGCACAGCCCTAACTCTCTTACCATAGGGCTTTTCCACTCCCATGCACACGCTGAGGGACTGGTTAGAGGGATGATGTCCACCCTCTGAAGGTGGCCTGAACCTCAGCGAGCCCTCACACCCGAAGTCTGTTTCGCGGAGAAAATGCTCCCTCCTACGCTGTGTTCCAGCAACGCTCCTCCAGTCAGCTGCCGTGTCGTCACTTGGGATTAGTTCCCCCGTGGAGGGGTGGGTTGGTTGGGTGTGTCCATTCCTTGCGCATCTGAACCTCACGGAGCTCAGCGTCTTCATCGCTTTTCTTGCTTCCCTACTGTGAGCCTTTTGGGACTGCTCTGGTCTCCTTCCCCCTTCCTCCACCGCTCCTATCTTTTCCTCTTATCTCAGGGCCTGGCACACAGTAGATGTTCAGCAGATGTAAAGAGACAGCAAATGGTTCTGGGGTTGAAAAAATTTTTTCTTTCTCTTTTTGAACACAAAAATGATCCCATGTTTCATAAAACCATCACTGTGAGGCAAAAGCCATAGGCTCTAAATAATTAGAGGAGAAAGGGGCTCAGAACCATTGACGTCTTTTTAGGCACAGGTTACTTTGCACAGTACTGAAGCCAAGACTCACAGATTGTTGTGGCTCCTGGGCCGTATGTGTACTTGGTGCCATGCAGGGAGGCAAGTTCTTTCACAGCGGCTTTAGCCAGGGCATTCTGAAAAAAAAAAAAGCAATAAATAAATACATAGAGTCACATACTGCCAAACAACACACATCTTATTCATTAATTTTGAGACACTGAAGGTGTTTATTTCACATTTGAGTTAGTGTCTTATACTAGCAGTGCTCATTTTAATTTTTCTAGCTACCTTAGTCATATGATACAAGTAGCTCTTGCTAAAGAATGTATTCTGTAAGGCCCTCCTCAAATACTCCTCAGTTTGAAATTTCTGTCTTGTCTCTGGGCCTTGTAAGAGAAAAAATGGAAATCAAGAAAATCTTTATGGTTATGCCCAGATTTTGTCTAACAGACACGCACACACACACACACACACACACACACACACACACACACCCAAACAAAACAAAAACCAGTTGGCAATGTGGGAGGTATAAAGTCAGCTCCGAGTCGTGATAGGATGTAGCATGAGAAGCTACACATATGAATGAGGGAATCAACGGAGCATTCACTGCCAGCCCGGAAATGTTTAGGAGTCGGCAATTCCAGTGACAAGTGGCAGCTCCAGTTTGGAAGCTATTTAGACTGAAAATTTAAAGAACATTTATTCTATTTCAAAATGCTGAACGTTCGAATTCCAGGATAATAAAAAAGTAGTAGGTATTAGCTTGTGCATATTCTTTTTTCTTAGCAGCAGCATCACCTTCTCATAAGAACGTTGCCCCCAGCACCCTGCATGGAACTCTTCAAGGAGATAGATTCTCTGCACCCAGAAATAACTTCACTGACATTCTTTTCTACTTGTTTAAAGAAGCATTTAAAAAGCAAGACCCGACTCAGCTTTCTGGGGGGAACACACAGATTTGAAAACTGATTGTTTTACTACAGCAGAAGTAGCTATAATTCATTCTAGTTACGAAACTCATTGTATTTCATACTTCAGGCATCGCAATAATTTCTTGCACATATGTTTGGAAGACAGTGAGGTGGGTGATAAAATCAGAATAATCCTCATTATGCAAAGTAGGAACTTCTTTTACCCCTTATTCTAATATTAAAACCAGCTTAGTAGAGCCTTCTGTCAAACTGTTAAAGTAAAGCTTTAAGATTTCAAAGATTCCGGCTCCTAAAGTGTTAATTCTCCACCAACCAGGTGGCACATTAGAAATTTAAAAAGAGTTATAATATTCAAGTCATGATGTTCTGTTTTGGTCCAGTGCGATGACACAACTGACTCCCTGGAACTAACTTCTTATTTTCAGAGTTTTGGATCAGTAATTTGAAAAAATTTTTTTTCTTTTTTGGTACCCGGGATGAAACTTGGGTCCTTGCGCTTGCAAGGCAGGCCACTGAACCGCTGAGCTAAATCCCCAGCCCTAGTAATTTGAAACTTTTAAGTTTCTGTTTCTCTATTTCTGAGCTGGGAAACTAAAACATGCTTTCTGTTGTGATGTTCATATATCACTCCCGTTTTACCTTATTGAAACCAACACAGTAGCCTTGAATCTTTTCTTGAGTCTTCAGTAATAAGCCCTATTATTGATTGAAATCAGAACAATCTACAAAGATTGCATAATACTCAGAATAGATGAAAAACCATCTTTTAGAGATGTGAAGGAGGGTGAAGTAATAGTTCTTTTGGTTGACGAACAGCCTGTTTTTTATTAGTCTATAATTTCTTGCATTTTTCAAAGGACATTTCTGGTTATTTTTCTGTGTGACAGACTCTCTTGTCCCAAAGAATTCCCGTTCCTTCCCTAGACTCCTCCTTCAGATTTTACTTCTCTTTGTTTAAACCAAAAATTGTTATTTGAGCTAATAGAAATGCAGCTCTTTAAGATTAGTTCCAAATGTGAACAGTTCCAAAGGTATAAAGTTATAAAGAAAGTTTATGTGAAAGATTACGAGTCATTGCCATTATGTATTAAACTCATGCCTCAATTGTCCTTCAAGTCCCTCAACATATTTACTGATGTCCTGTAATAACTGAAATTTTAGTCCAAACTGAAGGGCCTGCTCATGATATATTATCTCCTTCGGCTTATCAATTTATCAGTGTGGTTATGAAGGCCATTAGTACTGCAAAAAAAATTCCATGAGTTTTTCCTTAAACCATGCTCTGGGCATGTGAAGGGACACCAAGTGCTTTCTAAACCCTTAGATATTTCTATCTTTTGCAAACAGTTGCTCTGTCTTTCATGCTGAAGTAAAATCAAAGATTGATGTTACCTTTAAAAGGTAACATTTTATTCCTGTTACTGGCACACACTGAAGGGACATTTAGTTTGTTCCTCACTGTCGGCTTCCTTCTCCTCAGTGCTCTCTCATCTTGATATTTACCCAGCACTTGTCTCCTGCGGGTCACCTCCCCACCTGCTCTTCACTGGCTCTACCACCTTCTGTGGATGGGGCATTCTCCGCTTCCAGTGAAAGCAGCCTTCTCTCTCAAGCCACGCCCCTGTGCATTCTCATATTCCTCCCAAGGCAGATTTTCTTGAACTTTTTCCCTGCACACTCATCCCTTTTCCCTTACCTCCATTACTTTGGGAACCTTTCATTGGAGCCATCTTTCCTCTCTGATTACATGGAAGACTTCTATTGGTCTTGCAGATTCGTTTATAGCACTAGCTTCTTTGTGATTCTGTCCCTAACTCTCTTGAAAAGCACAGAACCCCCTTCCTTTGTGAAGGGTCACACTTTGTGTTGTAAGCAGTTGTTTTTGCATCTATATTCCCTAAGGGAGCTCCTTATGGAAACGAATTCTTTGCTGCTTACTTTGTATATGGAACAAATTGCTCAGCATCTAGTAGTGGTTGGCTGATTGAGCCTTATTCTGGGGCTTTGGGGCATTATAAAGGGGTAGGATTTGAATGAGGGTGCACAGTGCTGAGCATTAAAAAGGCCAAGATGTGACCCACCTGAGTGGAGACTAGAGATGCTACCCAGGAGGGCAGTGACTGTGGTTGATGGGTCACTACATTTATACGCTTCACATTCTGTGCACTTTACTTATTTTTATTAATTAGAAAATAAGTCTGTGGTCTTCTCTGAGCCTCTCCAAAGCCAAGAGACCAAAAAGAACAGACATTAATCAACTAACATAACCTATTTTGAATTCCAATTATCTTAACAAAAATCCCTGGAATCAGTGTGGGTCTATTCTTTTGAAGAGTTTAAATAATTTCACAAATGTTATTCATTTATCTTCCCAACATTATCTGTCCACATTTCATCACCACAGAATTTTCTAGCAGAATGGAATGCCACATAGGGCAGCCTGCTCAGCAGGAATGTTCCTACCAAGCTGCATGATGGACCCCTCCCAGAAACGAGAGAGAAGGATGATGCTTTCATCACTAAAGTGTTAGAACGGTAACTCCTTCCCCTGCACATTTCTATAAAAAGGGACGAAAATGACAGAAGACTCAAGAAGCAATAATAGCATGGCAGAGAGCATGGGGCACACTTTGAAACTCCAGCTAACGGCACTCGCTCTGGAACTATCACTTGAGGAACAAATCTTACATTCTTGTTCAGTCTGTTCGAAACAAGAACATTTACATAAAACCTTATGCTTTACAAAGAGCTCTTGATAAGCACTAGATATTTTTATCCCCATTTTACAGATAAAAGAATCAAAACTCAGAGACCATAAAAGATCTTGACCAAGGGCACGTAGCCATGTAAGTGGCTGACTTGAGCTAGGTTCTTCTTCTTTTAAATTCTGTGCTCTTTTTCACTTCTCCTTGTGGCCTTCAAATACTTCAAAAGATGTGTTGCTGGAGCAGGTTTTACCAATTGTAAAGAACAGAAGGAAGCTAAATATAAATCAGCCTCAGAGCAAACTTTGCTTTCAGTCAAGGCCAAACATGGCTAGTCTTTATTAATCCTTAGATATGAATTTCCTACCACATCTTATGCATGTTCTCTTTTGTTATCTGTTTCCTTAAAAAGAGGCCTTGGTCCTAGAGCAAAAGACAGAGAGAATCTAAAATGTCACATCTAGCTCAAAGCCCAAGAGACAAAGGACAAGGCACGTAACGTCTCCCAGGCCTGGGCTTCAGGGGCCTGGTGAGATGAATAAGCAGAGGGGGTTCTTTTCCACTGACCTGCATTGCCAGGTACCATGAGCTAACGTAGCCCTGTGTTATGATGGTGCATACAGTCCTCATTCTACCCTCCATACACATTGCCTGCCCCATGACAGGGGGCTGCCCTTTCTAATCTTCTAGCTATCCATTATTACCATATTGTGGAAAAAAAAAAAACAACTCAGTACGAGGCGTTGCACCATTCAAAGGAAATTTTCTTCAGAAGTTTGTTTCTAACTTGAAGTACTGAGTTTAACCATCCCTGTGGGTGTGTGCCTGTGATAATGGAAACTTCAGAATGATCTTTAACTGCAGTTTCCTTCCTTCTGTCCCGTGATAATGTGTAACTTACACCAAGGGACCAATGAGAAATTTAACTTTTATAATTTTGGTGCAAAGGGAGCAGCTCTTAAGGTCCACCAGCAGGCACTAAGAGGGAAGCCCTTGGGACTGGAAAGAACAAACATGTTTCTGAGAAAAAAAGGAGGCCCTGTGATTAGAAAAGGAAAAGGAATCAGGGAAACAGTGGTTTCGGAGCTTTCTTCACGAGGCGTGCTGGAATGCTTTAGCTGATATAAACCAAATTTTTTTCTTGGCTAATCTGCAGACATATTTTTCAGCTCTTTAAAATTCAAGGGAAATGTGAAGCCTGAGTCAGCTGAACTTGTAGTCCAGACAATTCCGGTTTTGGTGGAAGTTGTGTTTCTCCCAAATAAATTTAAAAAATAAATGCCATGTAATAGGAATGTGCCAGTTTCTGGCACTTGAGATTTTCAGAACAATGCATACTATTTTCGAGGAGGTTGTAAGATCTCTGAAAGCCAAGAGCCTTTGGCTGGGAATATGATGGCTCTTATCTTTTTTTCAAGCAGCGTTTCTCAACCTCAGTGCTCTTGAGTTTCGGGCTGGATGATTCCTTGCTGACTGTGGGCCGTCTTGTGCCCTGTCGGGTGTTTATCAAATTCCCTGGCCTCTACCCAATCGGCATCAGCATAACTCCCACAGTTACATCAATCAAACATGTTTCCCAAACATTGCTAACTGTCCTCTGGGGTGAGGTGGGGCGCTAAATTGGTTGAAAACAAAGTAAAAAAAAAGGTACTGTGAAAAACGTGAGTTTATTTTAGGGAAAATGTTAAAATATAAAGCAACTGTTTTATAAAGTTGCTCAGAATGCCTGTTTATCTATTAATGACATTATGGGCGTCTCTTAGGCACCTCTGCTAGCCAATCTTGCTAAAATGACATTTTAGGAGTAGTGTTGCCAGATTTAGCAAAGACAAAAACCAAACCCCCAAAACAAGACACCTAAATTTAGGTAAATGGTTAAATTTAAACTTAGGTAAACAGCTAATATGTTTTTCAGCCTAAGTTTGCTCCATGAACTGTCTGGGACATACTTACAGGAAAAATTACTTATTTGTCTGAAATCAAAATTAAACTAGGAGTCCTGCATTGACTCAGACCATCCTATGTGCTGGTTGCTGGCCCTCGGCACTGCTGTGACTGACGTAGCCCCTCCATAGCCCGTCATTTTGCTGACCCAATCTCACCCCCTCTTTCCCCCACCAGGAGATACAAAGTAGGCTGATCCCCTTCTTCTGCCTTCCTCAAGTCCATGTCTGAGTCTTGCTATTGTATATTTGTTGGCTCTTTTCTCAGCCCAACCAGCCCTCCTCCTTTCTCTGCCATCCAAATCCTGCCAGACATCAAGGCTTAGAACAAATTTCATCTCCTCTATGTAACCTTCCTTGGACAGCCACTTCCTATCCTGAATTCCTACAACTGTGTATAATTAAAAAAAACCCAAGTCTCTTATTTTTCTTGCATAGTTCTTGGTATCTGAATTTTGTAATTTCCCTGAGATCCTAAGTTCTCAGTGGTGGGAGCCAGGGCTTATAACGAGCGCTTAATAGATACTCAGTGACATATGTGATGATTGCCTGATAAACACCGCACAAACCAGGCTCAGCAGGAGAATTCTATCAGGGCAGGAGGTCAGTTACAGTATATAATGGTATATCAGCAACTAGTTTCTTTAATCAAAGACATTCTGCTGATTCACTTAAAACTAGTCTTTTATGTGAAACTGTAAATTATAAGAAAACTCAAGCAGGTATTTTGTTCTTCAATCTTGTTTCACCTTAGCGGCTGATAGCTCGCCTGGCAGGGTGACTGGCTTTGCTACACTAGTTCTTAAGCAGGGACAGGGTGACAGCTGTGCATGTGGGGTATGCACATGCCCTGCAATTGTCCTCCCTCTAATCACGATATTTCTTTTGTCTGATTTTTATATGTATCTCTAATCATGGCTCTGTCTTGTGTTCATGTGCTTGGGTGGAACAATGAGTTTCTATCTTGGGGTCTCATTAACTAAGACTTTAGTGAAAACACACTGAGTGACTGTCACTGACTGGAAGGTGTTAGACTTCAGAAGCAGATTTCTATCTTTTGACTATGTTTAATAGTTTTTCAGAAAGACTGCTCAGTGTCTTCTAGTTACTGCTTTCTCTTGGTTAATGAAAATACATTCATCAAAAGAATGGGCCAGAATCACTTTTCTTTACCCATGAATTAATATAGAGGCACCCATATTCTAGATCAGACAATATTTCCCCTTCTGGGAATCCTTGTCACAAATAAAAACTATGAAAATGCCTCTCTCTCTCTCTACAAAAAGTTGAACTTCTAGTTACTCAGAAGATTAAAGTTGCTTTGGGGGTGTCAAAAATAAATTCCATTCATTCTAGGCTTTATTAATGTCAGTTAAGTGTTTATTTCAAGATAGTAAGCAAAAGTTTAATTACAGGAAAATATTGGAAACTGAAGTAACTTTTTTTTTTGGTACCGGGGATTGAACTCAGGTCCTTGCGCTTGCAAGGCAGGGCCACCACACTGCTAAGCTAAATCCCCAGCCCAAACTGAAGTAACTTTTAAGCCAACGAGTGTGATATAATTCGAATTAAGTTTTATATTTTAGTTGTTTGTTTTATGCTCTGGAAAATGTAAGAAGTGGCATTACTTTTCTTGAATTTGTTTTGTGAGTATTAAAATAAACATTCAAGATAAAATTATTTTGGGATTTGTACTTTTTTCTTTGAAGAACAGATTATGACTGTTTCGCCTCAATAGAATCATTTATTCTACTTCTTTGTTAATTAGACTTTTAGAATAATTTTGGAGGCCAGGAGTTCGAATACTGCAGCTTTTCGTATTGCCCTCACTTTAAATGAAGAAATGACTTTCGGGGAAGAGCAACGCAAGGTTCACAAACTGCTGGAGCGTTTTCCCACCCCTTGGGGCAGATGGGTCCATTAAACTCATTAATCCTGAGTCTGGGATATTGTCCTGGATAAAGTTCCCAGGAAGTAACACAAATTATTCACAAGATTTAAATGCAAAACTTACTTGATTCATGTTTAACTATAGTTGGGAGAATTTGGAGAAGCCCAGATTCCAGGTTATTGTGTGCAGCAGTGGACACGAAACTATTTCATCACTAAAAGGGCTTAAACATATTCTCCAAATAAGGAAAGGCACAGAACCCTTGTGGAAGCAGGTCCATTCCAAAGAACCTTTAAAATTCTCAGTTAATATTTAGTCTTTTAGTATTGTTATAGCTGAAAGTAGTAGAAAACAGGAAATATTTATCACTGCTACATTAGTGTTTTATTCTTTCAGTTTTATATTTTAATAATTCATTAGTACTAGGATGTTAGGATTTTGTTTTCTTTTCTGATGTGATATAATTTAAGTATATTCACATGAATTAAGCAAACCACATATACAAACTTTGTTCTTTCTGGTGACCAAAAATCTAGGACAGAAACCAGGGACAGTAGTCTTAGCTTCCACTGACAATGCTTCAAAAGGGGGTATAATTGGAGGACTGAATATTTAGGGTTCTAACTAATGACATTTTATTTATTTTTTGGCTACAGAGAGGGAAAATTGAAAGCTCTCTGAAATATTTGTTAAAGTCAACTATTAGCTATCATTTTTCTAGGCGATTAGGTTGTTTTTCTGTTTAGCTTTTTGCATAACATATTTACAGCATTACATATTTTATTTGGTCTCTGAGAGACTGAATATGAAAGTGCAAAATAACAATTTCCAATTTTTAAAGTTACTGGGTCTTCAGATTTAGGTAAGCCAAATATCTATGTCATTATCTAAGTGGATTTTTTTTTTAATGGTGCAATTCAAATGCTTTAAATCTTATGCTTGCTCTTTGAGATCATTTGTCTCAACTTCTGGCAGCCAGATGTTTCATAAATTTAAAAAAGTTGTTTGAAGGATTCAAAATGCTTATGCATTGATGTATAATATTTATTAATATGAATTCTTACAAAAACATATTTAAATGCTCATGTGATTATATCTTAATTGTCCAACAAGACCACTAGCTTTTGGATGGAAGGATATTTAATTTTTTTTGCATTATTCCCCACATCTGGAAAGACTCATTCAGATGATTTATTCATCGATTGATTACTTCTGTGTCTCATCTAATCAAATGGTGAAATAAAAGCAATTTTAGGATCTCATTGCTAAACCTGGTATCAACCAAATGTGGCAAATTCCTAATGACATGTGCCTCTGTCAAATCCAGCTCAAGGCAACTTGACCAAAATGATTCTGACAAAGGTTATATTTAAGGTCATTTTGTTGATTATCCCAAATGTATCTGAAATCATCCTTGAGTCATATTGTGATGAAGACAGGAAAAGTGGAACAATTGCCACTCTGAAGATGAGCAAACAAACCACATGTAGGGGACTGCTCTCTGTCAGCTGACATATCCAGCCAACTCCAAATTCCTTATAAATTTATAATGTTGTCCCACTTGTACTACCTAAAACCAATAAAGGAACTTCCAGAAATTGTGACTGTAATTTTTCTTTTCAGGATTAGAATGAAGAGGCATCTCAGTGAGATGCACTGTCTATTGACGTGATTACTTACCAACTCTGCATTGTTCTGGGGCAGTTTGTAGGAATAGGAGTAAGGGTAGAGCAGCATCTGGGAGTATGAGTGGATTGTGAAATATGCCTTGATGGAAGAGAGATTTTTTCGGATGAAGTTAACCAGAGCTTTGGTCTCTTTTTCAGACTCTGCGGTGGATCCGCAGTAAGTGTCAGAACAGGGGCTGGTAGAAGCTCCGTTTTCTGGGTAAAAAATAGTTGCTGTTAATGGCCAATGATTATCTACTGATAGTCATTCATGTTTATCATTCACAGGGCATGTTTTGGTATTTTAAAATTTCAAAATAGGAAGTTAAATATAAATTGTCCTCATAGGCGTCCCTGTGACGATCCTCACTGTCTATGTGTAGCCTCAAGATTAGGATGGTATATATATTTCAAGCTGACACGATAAGAAAGTATGCATGGAATCCCAGTGTGTCCCTGAGCAGTATTACACAATGAGATCAACATAGTGTAAGAAAATTAATAAGGTCAAAATGGATATCTATAAAAATTGATATTATGATGACCATTATTCATTGCATAACACTTTTATTTAAAACTACATTGTTTTCTTTCAGTCTTAGGTTTTTATTAGTACCTGTTTGCAGTACATAATGTTTCCGTTTCTTACGTGGAGTTGGTGCACGTACATAACATGTCTTCATGGCTTTTTGCATCCCCTGTCCCTCCCGACCCTCAACTCCCCCTCTACCTTTTGATCCTCTTCCCTTAAGGTCTATCTCCCTGCTTTCTCCTCTCTTTTATTTTGCTTTGTATTTATATTTTGGGCTTCTCATAGAAATCAGTGGATTAGTTAAAGCCTGTATGTCTGATTTGTTCCACTTTACATTCTGCTCAAGGTGCATCCGTATTCCTACAAGTGACCCAAATCCCTCCTTCTTTATGGCAGAATACGGCTTTCTGTAGAAGTTCACTACGCTAGATTCTCTAGACCGTACATTTCAATGTTAATAGTCTGATTTGTTTACTATGACGACCCTAGCATCTAACACAAATGGGAACGTGAAAGAGCGCTCAATGCATGTTTGTCAAAAAAATTAATAAACTTATTGTCTGTGGTTTTAGAAAGTTCGAACTATAAACTATACATTTTTATGATTTTTCTTGTTTTAGATACTGTTAGGTTTTCTTATGTTACTTTTCCTCTTATGTTTTTGAAGTAATTTAGGCTAAGTGGTCAGCCAGACACCTACCGCACCAACCAGCATCAAAGTTTCTGTTAGGGTCTGCGCCAAAACAGGAAGTTCCAGCCTGGGTAGAGCGGGTCTTCCTCCACATTCGATCCTGAAAGTGGATGTGGATGATATGATTAGAATAGGTATGGTTTTAATTTCATCAGTTCCTCTCAGTTTTGGTTCATATACCTTGGTCCAGGTGTAGACGTAGCCATCAATATTGAACACAGGCAGGATATAAAAGTCTAATTTATCGAGCAGCTCTGTCATTTGGATCTCCTGTCCATAGGTACGTACAGCCTGTATGTAAAATACAAAGCAGAATTTCATGCCAAAATGCAATTTAAAGCCGGGCCTGGTGGTGCATGCCTGTATTTCCAACAGTCGGGAGGCTGAGGCAGGAGGATGGCTGTGAGTTCGAGACCAGCTTGGGTTACATAGTGAATTCCAGGTCAGTCTCAACTACACAGGGAGACCCTATCTCAAAAAACCAAACCAAACTAAACCAAACCAACCAAACAAAAAAC